ACAGGCATTTTTTGTCCAAGAAGAAAAGGTGTGAGGTTTTTGTCGAGACAGTATTTGAAGACATCTGAAATATTTTATACTCGCTTGTGCTTCTGGGGTGGGCCAGAATCAGAAGTGTGAGTCTGTGACCGTGACTCAGGTTTCAACTCCAATTCTTGATCAAACAATATGTCACAAGGATGCAGCACATTCACGAGATGACATCCTGACCGACTTGCAAGACACACCGTGAATCACGCCAAAAGTGGCTCATTTGACCGAGAAGTGTTCTACATGATTCTATAAGATCTGCAAGATGTAGACGGGAATTATGCATGATTAGCTGAAATGGGCAGGGAATGATTCAATTTTGCCGTTTGATTGAGGTCAAACTGATCATGAACTGCTTCGATAGCTCTGTGGTTATGAAGCGCCTCGGAATCTTGGAATGCAGATGGTCAATGATGGTCATACAAAAAGATAGATGATAAGACAATGTTATGTATAATGACTTGACATATTGACACAGTCAGCTCCTAAAGTCGGGGTACAAGACGAGATTGGACCAGAGTGAAGCTTTCTCAATCCAAGGGGGTATCCAGACAGGGTAATGGGTCAGAGAATTGTGATTGGGATGGGTCAGCAGCGTTGTGCAAAACCTGCAGCCCCGAGAATAGAAGAGACAACAATCCCTGGGAGAAAGGACGTCACATAGGAAGCGTTTGAAGCTTCCAACTTTGCGACTTAAGGGTTGTTTTATGTTTGTAGCACACCACCGAAACAACAGTTGCGCCCTAAGAAAGTGATAGCGCGGCCAACAGCAACAGCTCGGCCAAGTCCTCAGCGGTGTCAATGAGATGGGGAAAGGGTATAACTGATGCGCCTCTGCCAGCATGTTGTAGATTTTGGATGGTTTCCTAGTGACCTAGTGTTTCTACGTACTGTATGTCGTTGCTTGGACTTGCCGTGGTCCTAGTAATTTTCCCGGGGTTGTTCTTGAACTGGCACGCTTGGGCCAACGCAGAACCCATGTGTGTGTGTGTCCACCCCTGGACCAAGGGTTTCTTCCAACCGATTCACCTGCCACTTGTTTCACCACCGATTCACAAGCAGGGGGATCAGGCTTCCAGTGACTAACCTGATCCAACGAAGCTGGGTCACTGGAAGGGATGTGGTTGAGGACGCTCGACCATGTACCTGCTGAGTTTTTCACAAGCTGTCACCCCAATCTTCCTTGGTTTGCTTCCATGGTGTTTTCGCACGATACCTCCCCCTCAAACAGGTTTCCCACCGCACTGCAGCTGCTGAACGCCGCTTCCACTTGCACGCTTTCGGAAACATTGTTCAACAATACTTTTCTGCGGACTCATGCACCTTTCCGTTCCTTCACCTTCCTTCTCAACGTGGGAACTGAGTCACTGAAAACCAATGTCAGAGTGTGTGTGTGTGTCCACCCCTGGGCAAAGGGTTTTCCACCGCCACCTCCTTCACCAGTTTTCCACAAACTTTCACTCGCAGGGGAGTGGTGCGCGGTCTTCAATTCACCACTCAACGAAGACACTCCTCGAACCGCGGTGATATCCGGAAGGGACGCCTTCTGGACGTACCTGCGCTGAACACACTGACTCCACTGGTTCCCCTCGCCGCTGTTCTTTGTTTTCATGGTTGTTCCCATGCTACCTTCCCCATAAACAGGTTTTCCCACAGCCGCTTTTCAGCTGCCGTCCGCCGCTCGTCCGCTGCTGTCGCGAGTCTGCAGATGCGCACAAACCACTTGTTCAAACATCTACAATTGATCGGACTCCTCACCTTACCGTTGAGCCATTCCTTTCCTTGGGGAACTGAGTTAACTGAATACAATTGAATACAATTGTCGAAGTGTGTTTCGCTCAGCCGTCCCACTCGGGTGCTGAGTGTGATCCCCGTCATTGGGGCGCTGTCTCATCGTGCAACGGACCTCACCACTTTTCACAGGAACTCCACTGGAAGTCACCGACACAACCACTGAATTAACTGCCACAACGGCCGCCGGGCCTCACCACGGGAACTGCTACTCCGACAGAATCTGTAGCTTTATGCAGCTTTGCATTTTTGCATGACTTTTCCGCATGAAGAGCTCAAGCTAGCTGACCTGAGCTTCCAAATTTAATTCGATATGCATGAACACACCAATACACCACATACTGCAGACTTCACACCATTCGAAAATACACATTTCCACCCTCCAGCGCTGAAGCTGCTGCCGCCGAGCTAGTGAGGCTCTACTTAAATAATCTGTTTTTTTTATAACATGTTATCGATGTTAAATGATTTAATAACAAGTTATAACTGTATGTGAACTAGTTATAACAAGTTATAAGTAGGGTTTAAGTAGGGTTTAAACAGTTATAACTTGTAAAGTTAAGTAGATGTTTTAGTAAAAATTGTTAACTTTTAGCTAACTATGTTAAGTCAATGTTTATTTTTAACTTGAGTTAGGCAGAGTTAGTAAAAATCAACTAACATATAAGTATTGAAAAATCATATTCCACATTGTAAGTTTTTTTGTTTTAGAAAATTAAAAAAGTTCTATTCTAATGTGAACTTTTCAATAAACCACCATAAGAATAATCAGCCAGCATGGCATTCAATTTTGTAAAAACATCATCAAGTGCAGTTACTTTGCCCAAGGGTGCAACATGAAGGTTGACATCCAAACAATCACAGCCATTAGCTGCAATGATTGCAAAGCAATCCCAGTGCCTGCCAATTTGATTCAAGAGCATGGTGGCCGCCAATGGTTGAAGCTGAGACCTACATGCCAGCAACTCAACCAAATCATTTATGGCAAGGTTGACAAGAATGCTTCTTTTTCCAACCACACAGGCTTCCAAGACTTCATTACCAAGAGGAACCAACTGTGGGCCAGAGGAGCTGGTGAAGACCAGCCACAAGAGACTGTCTATGAAGAAAGTGACCAGAGCACCCAGAGGACAAAGGCCAAGAAAAGAAGACTTGATGACCCAGAGGTTCTCCAAGTACCTCTGGGTGAAGCTACCATTGAGTGCTTGATGCAGGGGCAGAGGCCAACCAAATCAGATCTGGTGATGCCATTGGAAGAGAGCCAGCTGGTGCCAATTTTTGAGCTCTTGCAAGAGGACCTAGATACTTTGAAGACAAGGAAGCCTTACCAGAAGAAGGCATCAGTTCCCAAAGACTAGCTGCCATAGAGGTAGCAAATCACCAGAGGCAATGGCTATAAAAAAATGAATTGCAGTTACTGTCAGATGCTGTGTGCCAATTTGTGGCATTCTACCATTGCTTGGCAGCCTGATGGCATTGCATTGCATCATTATGAAACCAACTTTGAAGCATTTGAATTTGGCTTCTTGTAACCCAGAATCACAAACAATAGCACCAGGTATCCACCACCATGCATTGGCTCCAGCAAAGTTGCATTGGCTCAACACACTTGCTGACCGCCATGAGTGTGGTTGACCCAGCCTGTGTGAAAGCCATAAACAATCTATTGGCATCCAAATTGCCAGTGAACCAAATGGTGGACCAGGTTGTCCACACTCTCAAAAAGCAAGGTTTGGCCTACCACTCTGTGGTCACACCAAGCCAAGTTTTGTGCCACCCCCACAACAGGGCCAACCAAATGCTTTCATGGTTGGACATGTGGGACAAAGGCCAGAAGATGATGGCCATTGGTATGAAAAGGCAATTCCTTGGAGAATCCATGGCCATAGAGTCACCAGACCCTGCCAAGAGGTCTGAGCAGCTGATGGCCAATGAGAACCTCATCAAGGAGGCCAATGGTGCCATGGCACCCATGACAGGTTCTGAGCGTTCTTTGGTTGCCATGACAGCTATAAGGTTTATGCTTTTTGTCAGCCTAAAGAATCACAAACAAGTAGCTGGCATTCCATGCTTCCATTGCTTCCATTTGCTCATGTCCATGCTGAGGTTTCCTCAGCTTGTCCACCAGCCACACCGCAGCTTTTCTGAGGGCCATCAACCATGGTTGCCTGCCAGATGAGCAGCCTCCCATGGAAGTGCGCAAAGATGATCCATGCTGGGACCTCATCCAGAATGGGTGGTCATGGCTCATTTTGAGCCATTTGGTGGAAGGCCAATGGCCCATGCTACCCACCCTGCTGCAAGGGGCCATGAACTCTGCCAACTCCATCTCCAAGGCACCAAATGAATTAGAGCTTGCTGCCCAGCTTGGCCACCTGTTCAGCCTCAATGTACCACTTCATGAAGCCAAGGAGAAAGTCCAAGCTGCCAATACTTGCCAGCCTGAAGTTTTGACCTACCTCAGTCATTTTGTGAAAACATTTTCAGGTGGGCCAAAATTTCCCATGTTGGATTTCCTACAAAAGTTCAGTGGCCTGGATGCAACCAAAGGCTTCACAAATACCATTTGTTTGCTCTATACCACCAACCATGAATGTTACCAATTTGGATGATTTGGGCAAGCAAAACCATTAGCTAGTTATTTGCAAATGCGACCACCATTCAAGGTAGGAATTTCAACATCCAGCTCCAAGTTGGCCAAGATGTTTTGGAAGCAATGTGCTACACCAACTTCAAAGTCACTGGTGAAATCTTTCCCATGCTTCGAGTGGCCATGTGGTGCACCATGTTGGGGACAAACAAGCGCCAGGACAACATCCAAAGGATTCTCACCAAAGCCGATCTGGACAAGCTGAAGACTGCCAATGCCAAAGAGAAGGTCATCACAGCAGAACACCAGCTCCAAGGTGCTTGGCCCATTGTTGCCAAGAGTACTGTGGAGGACCAGAACCACAGCTATAAATGCTTTGGCAGACTGTGCACCAGGACCACCCTGTTTTTGGTGGGCAAACAAAAGCACAGCAGGGAATCCAAGTCCTATGAGGATTTGGGCCAAATCTTGGAAGCCTTTACCCAAGAGATGGCCAAAACTCACACATGTGAAGCCAAGGAAGTGCTGAGTGCCAGTGCACAGGACATGGCTTTGATTCAGAACCCTCACATGAAGCCAGGTGAAGTGCACCTGGACTTGTGCAATGTAAGCTTTTGGTTGCCCATTTGCATTACACCACTAGGCAAATCACTAAATAGCAAGTCACTGGTGCATGTGCTTCCTGTTTTGGGCAGCCCAGGTACAATTGCCAGAAGGACCGCCAGAAGGACCATCCTGGTTTGGTCTTTGAGTTCACCAATGTCAAGGACAATGCCATCACAATGGTGCACAGGCCACATCTAGGACCATTGCTCAGCATTGATGTTCCATTTGATGATCTTCCAAAGTGGAAGGTGTCCAAAGCAAAGATGCCACAGATTTGCCCAGCAGAGACTGCTGCTGCTTTGCTGCCCCACAAGGTACCCATGGCCAAAGAAGAGCTTTCCAAGTTGCAAGCAACCATGGCTTTGCATGAAGCATGTGAAAAGCACCAAGTGGATCACAACCAGATTGCTTTTGCTCAGAACCCAATGGGTCTTTGGACACTCCAAGCAATCAAAAAGGCTAAACAATTGAAGTTGGTGCCATTGGGCTCATTGGCCAAATTGAAGGGGAAGGAGCCAAGGGGGTGCATACTCATGGAGCATGGTGGCATCAAGTGGCAAATCCACCCTTGGAAGCAATACCAAGCCTGGGGTGAAGATGCCAAGAGCCAAGAGACATTGGTGCCATTTTGGTGGTGCAAGAGTGGCAGTGAACAATGCAACATGGAGATCCATTCCATCACCATGACAACTAGCAGTGGCAATGTGAAGATCCCAGTCCTCACCAACACCGTAGCCATTGATGCCAACCAGTTGCTATTGTACCCAAAGCCTGAAGATAATGAGAACATGGGT